CAGCCAAGGAGTCTTACCCTTCACTACCTTCTGGGTATCGACAAAGCCTTTCGGAACACCCATCGGACCCTATCTACTGAAATGGGCTATGACGTTCATCATGATTGTAGCTCCTCCTGCTGGTGATGCATTCCAATTCGGTAAGCCTCTCACATCACAAGATTCCTTTCTTACCTTTGCTGACCGTAAGCCAGTCGTGAGTCTCAAGACCTACCCCGAAGGCCTGTTCTTTTTGGCAATGAGTATTGGTCTCTACATCGTCCGACGTCACAACAAGCGAGTCGGAAGAGGACCTCCCGAGTTCAAGGCCTGGGATGTCGCAGCCATATTTTTCATTCTCATTCAAATCTTCATCATCGTCATGCCATGGTACCCTCCCAAAGGCGGCCCATACGCTGGCGACGTAAGTTTCTGGTATGCAACTTACTGCGTAGTCGGCATTGCAATGTAAGTTTTCCTCTCTTCTGGCCATCGCTTGAAACACCAGCTGATGGTACAACTCTTTCAGCATGATTCTTTGCGGTGTCTACTACGTCTTCTGGATTTACATTATTCCCAAATGGAAGGGCTATGCAATTCGGCCGGAAGTTCTCGAAGTTGACACAAATGGAGCAAACACGCATCGCTTGGTCAGAGTGCCTCTTGTTGAGATCGATAAATGGGATACAGAGCATGACGAGGCCGGGAATCTGAGGCAGCGTCATGTTGGCGATGGTCCAGTGCAGACAGGCGAGGTACTTGATCACAAGGAGATTTGATATACCAGGTAGGCTTGGCTTGCGTGAGAGAAACGAGCTTATTTGTGTAAAGAGAATATAGGTAGTGTTCAAATGCGAGCACTGCGTTCCTCCCTTATTGGCCTGCACCTTCGTCACTGTAGAACTCCTAAACGGTCCCGTCACGCTTTTCCAACTTTCCGTCCCTATTCTAAGCGACAAAAGGATTTAGGTAAACTTGGGTGAGTTTTGCATAGATTTAGGATATGTTTAGGGTTAGTCGATATCAACACCCCCAGATACTGTCATGTTGTTTGAGCATCATCATCACCGCCGCCGCCGAAGATGCTTCCCAGAATGCCCCGGACTGGCGACTTGCTTGTCCTCTTGGAGGTGTTCTTTACGCAGAGAAGGGCATATATTAACTCCTGGATTCTAATAATTTCCCCGAGATTCCGCATTACGTATTTGTGTAAACACCTGGTATATCTATATGTTTCGGAGATAGACACAGAGCTAACATCCCTGGTAGATTGGCCATGTATGCAAGACATTACTCATGACGCCCAAGGTGTCTGTCTCATCCAGCCAGTGATTGAGAGCATATTGATCTTTGTGGAAGAAGCCTCGAATTCTCTTCCCATTTCGCGAGGTATGCCAATTCTCGGGCTTCACACATGCCTGTATCTTATCTGCATTTCAACCGCGACGACTCAAGGCCACAAATGCGTGTGGTGCATATTGCTTGCCTGCACGCCATTCGACTGCAAACTTCCGTCAGTTTCACCAGATCTACCTTATCACCTTGAACAGCAGCTGATAGCTCCAGCTGGAGGTGCTTTCAGTACTTCTCTCTGGCCCAATCCGTCCACCCACTTCGACTTTGACCTTGCTTCAGCGCCTCCCTGCCGTACCTCGAGGCTAGTTGGCCTTGGCCCAATTCGATGCCACCATTTCACCTACCTTCGTCAACAAACCCACATACAACCTCGCGAAAAGTCAGTCATCGTCAGGCTTGGCCTCTCCTTTGAGAGTGCTATCTACCAGCTTCGCCCCGACCTCGCAAGATTCAGTCATCACCAGTTTCGTCTCGTCTCACCAGCTTCGCCTCTACTTTGATGATGCTTTTATACCCTCCTGATTCAGTTCGATACGATGACTTTGGTTGTTATCCTGATGATGCGGTCGTCCGAATTGTGGAAACTTTAACTCAGTATGAGAAAAACCAGGGGCCGATTTTGTTGTAGTCAGGATCATAAGGCTGCGGACTGTTTCGCACAGTCATTGGCCTAGCCTGGCTATCATCGATGTTAATGAGCGTGGTTGGGAGCTGGGTTGGATGACACATAATGCTGTCGACAGTTAAAGTGTGAATGCGAAAAATGACTGTAAGTAACCTTTTGGATTGGTTGAAGGAAGAAGGCTGTAGCTAGCTGCTCATCCCTGATATTTGTACTGATGGGGTAAGATGTAAAGGTGGCCCACGATCTTATTGATTCCATGTAGCATTATACCGCAGGACCAAAAGTGACAAAGCCCGACGTCTACAGCGGGATGCCTCCCAAAGGGTGAGAAACTTCATACTTGGATCCCAAATGATGGAAGTATCCAGTCGAGCTTAAGATAACTGCGAGTAAGATAAGCATGCTCGAGATAACTTCAGTAACGTGTCAAATAGTAGCCCACGTTGGGCCATTGAAACATTTATTCATAGACATACCGTAATACGTAATTAAACCACGCATCTCCTTGCTGGACCAGTCTGACCACTCATTCTGCTACCTAGCCATCACCTCAGAACTAACCCTACTGAGCTCCTGTCAACCCGGAGTGTTCCTCATTCTCGATATCAGGATTGAACTGGGGCTCTTCCGTGGTCCTGACCAGTGAGCCCTCATTCCTGGATATATTCACCGCGATACCGAGTTCCTCGAAAGGCTGGCCATGGACAAACGAATCCATGATGTTATTGGTCTCGCCCGGTGGAGTTCGATACCATGTACACACGCGTTGTAGAGACCTGCAACACTGGCACGAGTGATCATTCAGATCGTATATGCACTCGGTTGTCTAGGTGTATTACTCGTGGAGTCTAGCAAGGATCAGGAGTACGTACAGAGCACTGGGATAAACACATATCACATGCTTTGCGCCCAGGTGCTAAGAACCCAGGTGCTGGTTGTGCTCCAATGACAGTGTTTGTCGCCGCGGGAAGAGTTCGAGAAGTCTGTGCAAAGATGCCTCTCGATCCCCCCTGATGATTCAATGTTTCTCACATAAAGCCTCCACCATCAGGCACTTAGCAGAATTCTGAGAGTGTTGCAGTCATTGATCGACGTTGCCCATGAAGGTCTGGTGACTTCGATGTGGCAATTCTCTTTGGAGTTCTTGCCTCAAAACAAATCTTCCCGAATCATCGCCTTAATGGCGGTCGTTGTGTGAGAGTTTGAAGGTTTAGTTACCAGTGATTGTACGATTGGGCTGGATCCTCCAAAGCCAAAGGGAGAGTAGTACCCAAAGTTCATTAATGCTTACGAGTCCATCCCCAGAGAGCAAGAAAACTTCAGACATTAAACTAAGTTGCTAGAAATACATAATTTGAGGTCTAGTAAATCTATGTTAAATTATACTAGCTTCACCTGATTCCTTTTGCCACTTAGGACAGAACTCCTAAGCATTATTGCCTCCCCTTGTCTGTTTACAAATTCCACATGATTCCCCTCAGTTCTTTGGCTTATGTGACCACCATATACCATAGCACAATGCCCAGCCGAGGCGCCAAAGGAGACGTGGCCAATTTGAAAGTTGGCTTGGCACTATCTTGTACTTCTCTTGACGAAGCTTGTCTTGGACCATTGTGTGGAATACAAGCATCTTATGGCCTGAGATGCGTCCATGACGAGGTCCAGATTCTCTGGGAGGTCCAGGCGGCGGCCTACAGCGCATTCATATTTCTTGCTTACGAATTGCCATTTGATGATGATGCAAAGCCAATTCTTGTTGAGGTTAATATCAGCCAGGCCATCATTGACAGGTGGCTCGGAACTTTTAAGTATATCTTCATAAAGAACAGGGTACGCGAACCGCTCTGTTCAGGCGACAGTCCAGGCGGCGGTAGACGGCGCATTCGTATTTCTTGCTGATGAATTATAATTTAAAGCTGCCTGGAAGCAGCCATCCTTCTCTGAAGTTAATGTCTGCCATGTCACCGTTGACAGATGATTCAAAGCCTTCAGGTTAGTCCCTCCAATGAGCCTCCTCCTGGAGATTGACGAGATCCAGGGCTATTCTGCGGTGCCCGAGATCCTCCTATTGAGTATCAAACATTACTTCTTCTGATGTTCACTCTGGCTACTCGTCAATGTAAGGGTTTCTGTCATGGGGTTGTGAACAGAGCAGAGGGTGGAGGTCCAGGAGCTGACTAAACTAGGAAATCTGATCGTCCCACTGTGTCATAAATCAAGAAGTCAGTGCTGGTATGCTTATAGCGCCCTGTTCATCCATCTACCTACTTCTTTACCTCTAAGAAAAGAGACAGCAAAGCTTTATCCTCCATGCGATAACTCCTTATCTACTTATTAACCGTTATCGCTATGACCAAACTATTTGTGCAGACTCTCAAGATCTTGATGAGCTAGGGTAAGCAGACAAACATGCCACCGGCCAACGAAGCAGAACACGAAGACGATTCAGTATGGCTCCATACCTAGGCACGATAGCGGAGAGCTGGAGGAAAGGTTGTAATGGAAACATAGGTAGCTAAGGTCAGTCTACAGTGAGAATGTGTGACCACTGACCACACAATCAGCGGACGATGGACCAGTAACCGACATCAGTACAGCACCGCACTCATGCAGTGTAAACCCTACGCGCTAGTCCGTAAATCTAAACCAGAAGTCTCTCTTTGAAATATTATGGCACTTCCATATTAATATGCGACATATCACAGATTGCCTTAAAGAAGGAGTCGAATTTGGGAGAACTGTGTTCAACAATACAGACAAACCGAGAGAACTCAGCCATGCGAAGAATGTTCCGCAATATGGCCAGGAAAGTCTAACTGATAGTCGACAACAATCAACCCGACTGTTTGGTTGTTCACCAAGCTAACATGTGGCTGTCAATAAAGTAACGAGGTATCGGATACGTTGCCTCCGATTGAGACTAAGAAGGGAGTATGTCAATATCTCCATTCTATCTATCTGGTTAGTAGCGGGATATTTGTCTGGGTGTTTTCTGCTCTTAGCGGTAAATACGGCTACGGCTTAGTAACCTTAAAAACAAGCCCCTGTGGCCTAATGGCTAAGGCGTCTGACTTCTAAGTGCAGTCAAAAGGCTGCTAGATGCGAATCAGAAGATTGCCAGTTCGATCCTGGCCAGGGGCTCCACTTTTTTGCCTTATTCTAAATAGTAGAAAATGCTTAGAATCGTTTTAGCTTTCGAATGCATGTCTTTTTATTTCATTACGACATGAAATGGTGTAGTTGTGATGGAAAACGTGTTTGCTGTAGTAACATCGGGGTTGGCCATGTCACGTGGCCGCAGCATTCCCCATACGCGATGACGTTTTTATTCCCAGAGCCTTCAACGTAACTAACTACTCCCTACCTCAAACTTATTTAAACTAGTCAATTAGCTCAATCATTAACCTATCTTTTCGATAGTCTCCTATACCAAGACTATTTATGTTCAGATTACGATAAGAACTAGGAGCGGAACCGAGACTCACGAGGATAACGCCACCTCGAGAGGTCACAAGAGACAGTCGAGCAAGACGGACTCTGCGCCGGAGCCGAAGACCAAGCAGGCCAAGACGTCTGATGCTCGCCCTTCCACGCCAGATGGACAAAAACCCACACTTACAGAGAAAGAGCTCGAGTTCGGCTTCGACCACTCTCAGATCCGGGACCCGCGAGCAACGCCAGGTCGCGTCAAGCGTCTCCGGTATGAGGAGCGCGAACTAAGTGAGGAGTTTCAATCCAAGTTCCACATCCCCAAACATAGAAGCAAGCATACGGACCGTTGTATTCATTCTACGATCTACATCGATGTCACCGGAAGGGTCCAGATGGGTCCCCGACCTACGATAGCGCAGGCTTTCAACTTGATTATGAGAAAGTTGCCAAGTGCATGAAGCCAGTGGCTTACAACAAAAATTCCATGGTCAATGGCATGTAGCGCCATGTCAAGAGAGTCGAAGGAGAGAAAAAGAAAGTCTACGACAGCTTCTTTGTTGATGGGAAGGGTCCTGAGGGTGGAGAGGGCAGTACGCAGGTCATGGATCAGATCAAAGATCAGGTCTCCAAGGATCTCGGGGTCCCCTGGCACCAGATCGATTCGAAGCAGCTGAAGAAATGGGAAGATCAGGGGTTCGCCAAGGTCGACGCGGATGAGTGGTGGCTTCGGCTAAATCAAGTTGAGCGCGATCGATTCATGAAGATGCTAGGCGGAGCTTCTCTCCGGAAGAGCCTATAGCCGTAAAGTGAATTCAGATCCTAGAGTGTCTTATCTCTTGCAGTATGATTTTAGTATTGCAATTCCAGTATAGCTTTGTTTATCATTCCTCCAGCTAGGGGTCACGGAGCGCCTGCTAGTGAAAGGATCTCGTCCCTAGTATTAGACTATCTCGATCTGTGACAAAAGTGCAACCACTACAGCATGGATTATTGATGATACGAAATACTCGCTCTCGTAAAGTGGGTTAGACTAAGCTGTCATTCCCAAGCCACGTTAGCGCTGACTCCGGGGCCCTAGATCCCATCGCCTCGAGTACAAAAAGACCCTACGAGTCTCCCTTGCATGACAATCCCCACATCAAAAGGGCGCCAATTCTCCACGCCCTTTCGACGTTTTACATCGTGCTTATGTCTCATAGATAAAACACTACAACAGTTAAAGTATCTGGAATTTAGAGTATTACATCACAAAGATATATCACATTTTTTTAACTGCCGACGAGAAACAAGATGGCTACTCAAACAGAAACACTGCTCGAGGATATGCTGCCCTCAACTGCCGAGGCACAAACTTACGTGGAATCTCCACTCAACACCGTCACCAACAGCACCCCAGCAACATCTCGTCTACAGAAAATAGCAGTGACATTCCAACTGTCTGGCGTCAACTTTGCAGCCAGCGCTACAAACGGCCTCATCGTCGTGGGTCTCCCCCAAATGACCGCCGACCTCTCCCTACCCCCATCCCTCGCCTTCTGGCCCTCCTCCGTGCAAGGGCTCGCGACAGCCTCGACGCTGCTCCTCGCGGGTGCCCTCGCAGACGTGCTAGGCGCCAGGTCCGTCGATCTGCTCGGGTGCATCCTCAGCGGCGCGCTCATGCTGGCCTGCGGATTCGTCCGCGCGGGCGAGGAGCTAGTTGCGCTAAGGGCCCTACAGGGCGTTGCGCTCGCGCTGCATCTCTCGAGCTCGGTGGCCCTAGTGACAAAGACGTTGGCGCGGGGACGGGGGAGGAATTTCGCGTTTGCGTGTCTGGGCTTGAGCCAGCCGCTTGGCTTCTCGTTTGGGCTTGTCCTTGGCGGAGTGCTCGTCGAGACTATTGGTTGGAGATCAGGTTGGTTTCTCTACGGTGGCATCAACCTTTTCTTGTCCGCGGTGGGCTTCTGGTCTTTGCCAAAGTCCGAGCCGCTTGGAACGTTGCAGGATGTGATTCAGAGCGTTGCAAAAAAGATTGATTGGCTCGGCACTCTTCTCGCTTCAGCTTTCATGGCACTGCTGTCATACTTCCTAGCGTAAGCCACCGTCACCGTGTCTTAATTCAACGGCATGGCATAACTGACGATCTCATAGCGTCATCAGCACGGATGTGTACCGCATCAAAGATGCAAGCAGTATTGTTCTTCTAAGTTTGAGTCTCGTTGCACTGCCGCTCTTTGTCGGCTGGATGCATCTTCAGGTGAAAAGGGGTCTACCGGCCTTGATACCGAATTCGTTCTGGCGGAACCACTCTTTCACCACGATCTGCGTGACCATAGCCTTATCCAACGCTGTCATAAACTCCCTAGAGCTATTCGCGAGTCTATTGTAAGTGTTAAACCCGAATGACAGTTCGTAATGTACCCCACGTTGTTAATCTTGGCCCTAGCTTCCAAGAGGTACAGCACCTTTCAGCTCTCAATGCAGCTATTCGCATCTTACCTAGCGTCGTTGTGGGTGTAACCCTCAACTTCACAACAGGTCTCGTTGTCCACAGGATCCCTGCTATATGGCTCGTTGTTATCACATCTGTCCTCACAGCAATCTCGCCTCTGCTCATGGCAGTCATCGACCCTGCGTGGACGTACTGGACAGCTGCATTCTTCGCACAGGTGCTCATGCCGTTCTCAGCAGACGTCCTCTTCACAGTGGGCCTGATAGTCGTCACTGAAACCTTCTCCGAGGATAAACAGGCGGTGGCCGGGTCAGTGTTCAACGCAGCGTCCCAGTTTGGAAATGCCATGGGTTTAGCCGTGATGCAGGTTATATCTACCCTTGTCAGCAAGCAACATGCAGGATCGAAGCCAGCTGAGGCTCTTCTCCAGGGCTACAAGGCCAGTTTCTGGACCATGTTCTCATTCATGGTTCTCTGTGCTCTCATTGGAGGCGTCGGACTACGCAAAGCCGGCAAAGTCGGCCTGAAGCAAGAGTAAAAAAAGGGGCGCTGGACAGCTACAGAAGTTGAGGGCGACGATCTCCCTAGGAGAAGGGAAAGTGGAATTTGGTGACATCTCTATAGAAATCCATTGAATGAACGGGAGTTGGTCCTTGTTCCGTAGCAGGTCGGGTCGGGCTTCGCGAACCTAGTTGGCTCCCAATCAAGTTATTGCGTCCGACATGGGTCCTTGGCGTTGGGTTCAGCTTTCAGAATACTAGCAGTGTCGATCCCACGGGAAAGTGTCTTGGAGTTCAGCTGTCACGTAAACACCTACTCCTTGATCCCTGAAGAGAAATGTTAATTCCTAACATTCATTTCCTGAATAATTCCATGATCAGCCCTATCTAATACCTGTTTCATCGTTGGTGGTGTGCTGTGAAAAAAAGTTTACAGAGGCAATGTCGGAAGTTCCTCACGGAAGTTCCGTTGTGACCCAATGGGTCAGCTAAATGTGCCGCCGGGTATTTAATAGCCACCCACGGGCGGACACTCAATTGAGTGGGCTCTGGTCCAGTTACAGAGGGATCCGCTGCGGCTCTTGCTCCGACTCTAAGGGCCTAGACCGTCCACGGCATCGACGCGCTAGTTCGTGTAAGGGAACGATCCTAGGGCTGTTGGGGGTCGTAAACGAGCGTTTTGTAAGTGGCTTGTTTTGGCGGTTTTGGGGGTTCACCTTCAGTGGCAGACGACCAGGTATTTGGGGTAGTCTTAGGTATGGTTCAGCCATCAATTTACTGACAATTAAATTAATTTGCGAGACATTGTCTGTGAAGACTTGAGACATTTCCGGTCCAACGTTACTAACGCTTAACTGACGTTTGACGAGATCAGAAGAATGCCATCATGACTCGGATATGGTGTTATCTAGAATTCCATCCATCAGTGATCATGTACCTCGCTTAGTGGGCGGCTTCGGGGGCCGTTTGGTGGTGGACGCGCAACAAACGCCAAACTGACATTCCACGCCACGGCTTGTGACATCCCATCTCATCCCATTCTTTGATCTAACGCCAATCGCAATTGATCGTCCCAATACGGAAGGGAATGATGCTTGGCCCTAGACTCCTGCAAAGCTGAGATCCCTGCCGTGTATCAGTCAATAGGATCGATAACCGTCATGTTTTCGTGGTATCCAGCGGCCAAAAACCTGAATCGCTAATCTTGCATGCATGATTGACACCTCGACCCAAGATCCAAGCGTGTTGAGTTACAGCTAGGATCTTATCTTGATTGCCCAGAGCCGCGTCGCAGGGTGAGGTTACTTTGAGACGTGAATCGGGACTGGTTTGCGAGTCAGTCATCCAAGCGAAACGTTGCGCCCCGTGGAGATCTTGCGGGCCCTTGGCTTGGACTCTAGGAACTGCCTGAGAACCGGAAACTCGAGAGAGACATGTGACCGCAGACTACAGAGTAGAGCTGAACGGAGAGCGCCACGAATGAGCACCCTAATCCCAGTGCCGAGCAAATCGGAATTAGCTGTTGAGGGTTTAGCCTCTGCTTATTGCTGATTACATCACCTACCAAATCTCGGTGTTATCCCTTCCAGCTCCATTGTGGCACTCTAGCGCTGAAGCTTGTTTTCCCTGGCATGAGCATGAGCCCTTGAGGCACAGCCCAAACAGAAGACGCGGAGGCTCCCTGGGCTTGGCTTGGCTTGGCTTGACCTGGTCTGGCTGCCCTGGCTGCTGGGTGAGGTGCTATACCATACCACACCATACCTACCGTTCATCGGCACCTA